GAAGCCACCCCAAAGGCCGACCTTCACCCCAAAAAGGTTCTCTGTCCTGTTGGTGGTCCAGAAGAGGCATGGAGTACTGGGAGCTGCTGGAGAAGGGACAGACGATTGACGCTTCCACATACGTGACCCAGCTGCGGAAATTGAAAAGATCACGTCGTACTCGTGGAAGGAATGCGGAAATCTACTTCCACCATGACAACGCCCGACCTCACACTGCAAAGGCGACCCAGGCCGAGCTGGAGAAGTACGGATGGCTGATGGTCGCCCACCCTCCCTACAGCCCTGACCTCGCTCCTTAAAGTTCGAAACAAAGGATCAGGTCAGAAAACTCGACGACTTCTTCAAGTCCCAGCCCCGTCGTTCTGGAAGGATGGAATCGACAAGCTGCCTGAGCGCTGGCGTCGAGTAGTGGATGGTGATGGTGCATACCTCTAATCTTCAGGCTGGTTCGCTTTTGAGATATTTACAAAAAATTCGGGGTTGGAAACATATGCATCAACCTAATATGAAGAGAACGAGTACAGCCTCAGCCTACGGGGACGAGCCGCACACTGCGTCTATCATAAACGCGACCCTCAAAGAAATTGGTACCAGTTTTTCTGCGAAATAAAACTGTTCTTACGAAATAAACTATTATCCTCAAGAAACTATCAATATACAGCTTTTTTCAACAGAAATTACTTTGTCAAGCGCCTATTTAGTAGCCATGCCGTTGATCCCGTCGATTTTAGATCATGTGACAACGACACGTATGCTACCTCTCTGGCTGAACACAGTTTCTACAGTTTGGACGTCGCATTGAGAAAAGCAATTCAAAATCCGCTGATGGTCTCAGAGCGAACACCGGTCAGTTTACTCTTCTAGATGTCATGTCAAGTGTTAGTGTCTTCTCCACAAAATTTCCAACCTTCTACCGCTTTGAGTCGTATGCTAGCATGCACAACACCACTTCATGTTCATCACAAGAATGCTGATACAGAATACAGACAATAGCTAGGAACGCGGGCAGAGTCACGTGACCAAACGTGCCCCTAACAATAAGGTCCCTAGCTCGAAACGACCTAGGGAAAACTTGGACTTAATCCTCTTGAATGCGTCGATCTTCTTTTTTATTTCTGAAGAGTTTTCTGTTTTTCTTCAAGCTCTATCGTCCGTATAGCAAACTATGGTCATCATAGACTGTCAACATTCCAGCTTCTCACAAAATCGGAATAAGCCGGACCATCACGCCTCGGCGTCTCTCTTACTCTCTACTCTCTTGAATGAGGTCATATACCTGTCAAGCATTTCGCCGCAGGACCAATGCGACAATATCTGCATGTATGCCTGGAACGTTACAACCTTCGAACGATGAAAACAGTAAGAAAGAAAGAAACTGTAGAATGGCCAGAAGAAAAGAGGGACAGTCACTTGAGTTTCCGGAAAAGAGACGTGGTCCGTACTTCTGCTCTACTATTACTGCGAAACTTGTATGCTGGGCAATACAATTCACCTTGCGGTCAGTGCAATGTTGTTGATATGTTAGTAATCGTGATAATGTAAAGAATTCACGTCTAATTTCAGTTTATGTTTTTTGATTCTTTTCTCCACTTTAAAACAGCATGACGTTAATATTTTTCTGAACAGTCCTTTGGTTCGGATAGATAGATAAATAAACACACGTACACGTACATAAACAATTCTTTTGTTGCGACAAAAGCTGCAGTAGTACAGCTTATGCACCGATATATTCACTTTGCAAAGTCTTTTTTAAGGCATGCTGGAAAGGTATGAAGCCGCTCAATGACCCGGAGAGCGCGGTGAAGCCGTCGTACTGCCGCTTGGTGCTACACTATCTGGAATGGCTGGCTGCTGTCGAAGAAATGGCGATACTGGACGAAAAAAGACGTGTACGTTACAAATCTGCATTATTTCATTTCCACTGCATTTCATGCATTTCATTTTCATTTAATCATTTTTGGATTCATTATAGTTCTCAAAATCCACTTACCTTAATGATACAGGGCACAGCATTTGGTTGGAACCCATCAGGGGTCGTATATATTTGGTTGCTGGAAGAGGGGTGTCTTCAAGGCAATCAGTGTTAATGAATAAGCAAACATGGTGGTGAGGTTATGAACCTTTCTGAACTGCTGAGTCACATCGGCTTGCACTGGCAAGCTTTATGCGAAAATCGTACATTAAAAAAACCTCGGCGTGGGAGTTGATTGCACTGATGTTGATTGCGCCGTGAGAGCTTCCAATTGAGTTTCACTGCAAAAGTACACAGTAAATCGAACTTTTCAGCGGCTCAGAAGTCACCCATCAAAAGCTTATCTGAGACATCTTTTTGCATAAGAGGTCTCAAGAAATTGTATACAAATCAAGAACGCAGAAATTCGCTTATGGTTTTCATTCTCATAACTCATCAAAGATATTTTTTGATCTGAAGAAGATTCAGTCGTACCGTAGTACAATCATAGAACAACGAAATTAGTATTCTTCAGCTTCTCTCTTCTTGGTACCTTGGCCTTGCTAGTTGCAGTTTTTTTAATATATGCTTTTCGAGGTTGATAGGTAGAAGTATTATTAGAGTAGCCTTCGTTGACTGAATCATCGTCATCTGAGGCGTACCAAGTGGCTTACCTTTTCCGGCGATTCTGACACCCTGTCCGTAGCCTCGGAAAGGGATCCAAGCAATCCAGAAAAAAACTTACCCAGAGTTTCATCATTTATGAGGAAAGTTTGCAAACACAATCGAGCGTTAGTGTAGCGAGAGATCACAGTACATTGCATCCTGAGACTGATAATAACCAAACAACCTACGTTACACACTTCAGTATGTACTGTTCGCCTTACGCAATGAATGCAACAGCTCACTCGTTACTGTGGAACGCTCATCTCGATTGTTCATAGCTGGATTTCTTGTTGGAATCCAAAAAGCCTCTGAGGGTTCTCCGCAGGAAATTTCTGTCTCATGTGACGACACTGCGCACTTTCTTTCAAGTTCAGTGCCTCTGTGCTCCTCCCGCCTGCGTCTCCCAGGGGCTGTAGAAGGGATACCGCATCTCATGGTAGCCAGGTGTTCTTTGATGCAAACGGCTAGGACCCTTCCTGTTTCTTTGCTATATTACTATACATGAAGCGCCTCAAATCAAATAAACTCGCTTTAAAAGGCACAGTCTCCTGTCTCAAGTTTGGGGAACATCGCCGAGTTCTTACACCACCGCATGTTATAGAGTCTGTGGATCGAACCAACTCCCGCTTGAAGGCAGTTGGCACGATAAATCCTCCACGACGATAGGATTAATACGCCTGGCAGGACGGAGACCCGCGACCCTGAGCAGGTGCTACATAGCGTCTTTTTCCAGGGGATGTTCCCCCTATCAAGCCACAGCATGTCGACCCGAAGCGCTCACCATGTCCGCCCGACCTACAAAATAGGACCGACAATTTTCTGAAGCTCATGTTGATTCATTTGCATTGGCATTTGATTCATTTGAGCAAACAATAGAGCGAAGGGATTGGTATGAAGCGCCCGTTGACGCTGCATGGTTATATGAGTATACATACGCAGCCGTATCTTCGGTAGCGGTTACTGGCAGGATGCCTACGGGAAACTCGTGCAAAATTGATTTTTAAGTCATTAAGAACGGCGGCTTTTTCTTCAGGGGATTTTGACCGTCTCACTCCGTTCTTTCGCCATTTCCCCACTGCAGCGCCTTACCAGCATTTTAAGCCGAGTACCAAATCATCATGCCAACTGCTAATGCATTTTTAGGAATATTCACTAATTGGACATGAATTCACCACTGGGCTCTTGGAACGTTGCGCCGAATGGCAGCGATCAGTTTGTCAGAGATGGATGGGACATAAAGTCATTTACTCAGTTCTGTTCATAAAGGTCAGTTGTTCTGACGAGGAACATTATTTGGGATGATCTTTGGAGGTCTTGAAGCTGCATAGCGATTATCCGTCGCTGTTTTTTGTAGATAACTGCCGTGACTTGTGTCGTTCACCATCGCCTGTGTACACGTCTACAACTTTTTTGAACATATTGCTTACAATAGCATGCTTGGCAGCATTTGGATGAGCCGATGTGAATAAAAATGTTCTAAGGAGCTACTAGAAGGCTTATAAGAGCTAAGAAATACTGTTTTCCGTTTCATGCACGAGTACCCCATACCTGAAAAAAGTTACTTCGTAGCAGGAAGTAAAACTCACTTGTCGGCTAGAGAGGATTACTCAAGAAACAATGATTCTTCATCGCAGTTGTAGAATACATTGGAATTCAACAATGCAGGAAGGGGCCTCGCACCACGTTCCAGTTTTTTGAAGGAGGAGTTGTCCTGTAATCACCATTCCACCTATTTCGGTGCTGCGCCCTGCATGTTGAAGATAAGATATCATGGAACAAACTTGCTTTCCTATTGTGAAAAATTAATTTTCCTAATTTTAAGCTGGAGTTGACGACGAAACAGATGATTCCTACTATACTTCTGACCATATCCTTCAACACCTTCAAGTACGACAGCATCAGTTTGCTGCTCTGCAACGGTTTCTTCTTTCCTCGAAAACGGCGGCAATCAAACGATGGATTTCAGTATGTGTACTTAGTTGTGAACTCAAATAGATTTGATCCAAAACATAAAACATATCCATCCAAAATCCAAAACAGTTCGTCTTAAACTCAATTTGAGCTTCCTTTGTTGAATAGCTTGTGCGGTGTTTCAGTGCCGATATAGAGGTGGTAGTGAACGAACTGGAAAGGAACGTTGTAAATCGATTCCGAGAGCTCAACGTGTGCGAGGAGGAGTATGTACTGCTGAAACTAGTCTTTCTCTTCAGTCATAGTGAGTCAATTGCTAAACTTGCAACACTAAATGATCAAGGAGCGATGGCGGTTCGGCGCAACTTGATCCATGAGATTAAACGGATTTTCGACCTCACAAAGAAATGTTGGACAGGACATTTGTCGAGTTTGATGAGGAAAGACTGAATGCGAATTTCATGCCCTAGGTTTTCGTACTCTCCTGTCGAGTAAGGATAACGCTTTGGGTCGCTGTTGCTCACTCATTCATCATATGCCGTGGATCCCTGTGACTGAGCGATTTCTAGCAGGGCGTCACATGAGATACTTCTGGAGTCGAATTGCAATCTTCCAACCGTCTCAACCAATGTCGCTCCGTTCTAGGGGACCTAACCGCAATGATGAGCCTCTCGTCTCAGGAGGGATTCACTAACCCCACCCGCGGCGTTCTCACCACTGTTGTTTTCTCCCCAAATCAGCAGCCGATCCATACCCCCCCCCCTCACCGACTGATTGCATTGTTACAATCTATATATGACAGCACACTCAGGCATACGTACGTGTTTCGAAA